CGTTGTTGTTGGTACCTACATATTTTGGTATTGTGTATTGGTGATTATTATGACATTATATGGCACCTTAGGATGGTATAATTATTTGAATAAATTATCTCGGATTGGAGATATAGTATTTGATAGCTAAATTGGTTATAATGAAATATTGATATATTGGTTTGAATTTATCTCGAATTGGAGATAGAATCATTTGACATGTTTGGGCTTAGTGCTTTACTAAGCATGGGATTATTATGCAAAAAAGGTTTCTGTTAGATCTCTTAGGAGATATTGTGAATATATTTGCCTGATGGATTATTTGTTATTTGGATTATGTGTTTATGTTATTGTAGTTGTTATTCACTAAGCCGTGAGACTTACGTTTTTTGTTTGTTAATGGTTTGCAGGTTAAAGATTGTAACGCCCGACTCGATCCTGTGTTTGCTGCCAGCACGATCCTTATGATAGCTTCTTGTGATCCTGTGTGCCAATTTATACCAAAATCTTTTGAATTTTTTTTATAATTATGGAATGTATTTTGGGGTATACCTGGTGTGAAAAAATATTTGGGCGTTACACAAGTAGACACATAATACAGGTAAACATCAATCATACAGTTCACTACCGCCTACTAGTACTCTCACAGCATACTGCCCCGCCAACAACTAACCTCCATGAAATGCATAACCATAAGTAACCAGAGGTGAGATAGCCACCCAAACATATGATCCTACTCTAGAGCCACAACCAAACAAGGAGCAAGTAAGAAAGTATAGATCAACAGTTCTCAGGTTATCCTACATGACTACATACATCCCCTAGGGCACTCCACTAGATGATAACCAGTATACCACTACTACAACATCCTATCATATAAGGATATATACACAGATCTAGCAGATCACTATAGCACAACAACATCCTATATACCAGGATACAAATCTAACAGATTGCCACATCATAACAACATTATATATATTAGGATACATAATCTAGTGGGTCGACATTGGTGCCTTCGACCCACATGTATAGTGAGGAAAAAACTCATCTGAATCAAAGAACTTTTAAACACTGTGATACAATCCTTTTCTGTACTGCTTGCACCCACGAATCTGCTAACACCAGAACCAGAACCAGATAGAATCTTAATTGATATCCTAAAATCCTCAAGTTTGACCCTAGATCAAACTTGGTCAAAAGTCAACGGTCAACGAAAGTCAAAGTCCAAGGATGCTGAGTACACCCAACGTACGCGGCCTGATCCCACTCCTTCATTAAGCACTTAATCCCTTTAGATCTTTTGTCCAGATCTCAGATCTAGACTCAAAGCATCGAATTAAGTCATAAAGTTTCCACTTTTATGATTTTCCATGGCTAGAAAAGGTCCAAAAGCTAAAACCCTAACTTATTAATCCAGTAAGACATCACAACTATTGCATGGAAGGGATAGGACCAAGATCACATTTTTATGGTTCCTAATAGCTCCATAATGGATAAAGTTTCCAACTTTACCCATTAAGATGGTCCAAAAAACCAATATCTAGTCGTTAAGTCTAAAAAGGACCAAAAGTGCATCTTTCTCAACATAATTCACTAAGTCCAAGTCTCCAACCTTCAGATCTAAATCAATATGATGTTTAGATGGATAAAGTCTCCAACTTTATCCATAACAAGGTCACAAACTTTCAAGATCTAAACTTTACGCACTAAAGGGACCAAAAGCTCGTAACATCCAAAACTAGCTAGATCTAACAAATGCATCATCAAGATTCAAGCTTTATAACTCCAAAAGAAAGATCAAGGTGAACAAGGTCTAGATCTACAAGCTCCTATGCAACCAACACTTCTCCAACGAACTCCTTTTTCTCCAAGATGCACCAAGAACACTCCAAAGCACTCAAAACACATTCTTTAGCTCACAAGGCTCAAACTAGGGTTAGGGTTTTAAGGGAGGATGTTGGAGAGGTGGAGGCTGAGAATGGTAAGGGTTAGGGGAGTTAAGGGTTTTAAATAGGGCTCAAAACCTTGAAATTAGGGTTTGGGTTCTGATCGCGTACACCCAACTTACGCCTGGTACACCCAGCATACCTGGTTGATCCTCCGCGATCAGCCTTGCCTAGTATGCCCAACGTACTCGGCTTAACCCAAAAACCTTCCTAACTTCTAACGGTCATAACTTCTTCGTTTCAACTCCGTTTTCGACGATCTTTATATCCACGAAAATGTATTGAAGAGCCTATTACTTTCCCTTTTCTACCCTTCGGCCCAAAACACAATTCAAAGGTTAAGATCTCGCACCCATCATTGCCTCCATCCAAAGGTCTAAACATTACCTCCTTAAGGCCAGAAGCCTTTACATAATCGACTTCCGGCCTACGACCCTGAAATAAGAATTAACATGAAACAGGATGTTACACCCATCTTCCTTCTGACTACTTGATAACATCATAGTCCCAATCATTGATACTCATTCTAGATTTGATTTAAGCTCATTCATCTTTAGTTTACTTGATCCCAGACCATCAACGACTGAAAGGGATGCAACTGCACATTTAGAGTTGGCAGTGTTATGGAGAGAAACCGAGAAATAAGATATGCAATTGAGAAATGGGTGGGGTGGGTTTATTTGTTTTCTTTTAATTTAATTTAAATTAAACAAAACAAAACAAATAAAAAAATTGAAAAGGGCAAAGAAGTTATTTCACGTGGCTTAAGAACCAACCATATAAGTTTTAGAAACCACACGGGCCATTCGTATAAAAAAATTTAGCATGGACTGAGTTTGTGGTATTCGGTAAACCACATAGACCATTTATGTAATTTTGTCTTAAAAATATAAAATAAATTCAAAATGACATAAAAGTGGTTTCATAGGCTTAAGAACCAACCGTACAAGTTTTAGAAGCCACAGGAACTATCCGTATAAAAAAAATAGCAGGGACTGAGTTTTGTGACCTTTGGTAAACACATGGACCATCTATGTAATTTTGTCATGAAAGTAGGATGCTGGAATTGGTAGATTTTCAAAGTATATTGCCTTAAAATAAACTACAATGAAAGTATGATGTTGTAATTGGTAGATTTTCAAAGTATAGTACTTTAAAATGACATAAACTTAAAGTAGGATGTTATAATTGGTTGAACGGTGAGGGGGTGGTAAATGGTTTATTTTCGGTGATTTCTTATGTCAGACAAATAGTTTTCTTTCAATGAATACTTTCCTTTCAACGATTAGTTTCCTTTTGTTAGACGGTGAATAATTCCTTGTACATATGAGTTTCCTTTTGCCATTCGGTTAAAAAATATCACATTCCAAGAAACACACAATTATCAAAAATATATTTAACATTAAGTGACAACTGTAATTTCACATGAGTGTGTGTTTTTTTCATTTGAGTTGTGTTTTGGTGGGAAGAGAAGGGTTGATGTTGAGGGAAACCTAGATGGATAGGAGATCAAACAACAATGACTACACATCTTTGTCTTCTTTTCGATCAACAGGATTAGATCATAACAGTTACATGGGGTTTACGCAATCCCAAACAACTCCTAAAAGTATATTATATATTTTACATAATTGTTTCGCAAATATCAAATCGGATGTTTCTTTGGTTATAAGAAGCACTATGAAATCACGGCAAAGCAAATTATTTCCATGGACCGAGAACTTTTGCTCGAGGGTTTAATTCTAGCTACTTTTTGAAAATTACAAAGTTGATATTAGTGTGCTGTGTATTTGATTGGGTTGACGGATTCAATTTTGATGAGAAATAAAGGGGAAGGGGCGATCTATGAGGAACAGATAGGGAGCCAAGATTTGCCAACGTAAACTTTATATGAAAGAGGCTATGTTTAAAAATTAAATATTATGTACACAATATAATAATAATTACTATTAATATAGTTAAAAGTTAAACTAAATATTAAAGGCCACTTTGACGTCGTCCTATACCTATATATCCCCGAGAGGCGGAGAGGCCGAGAGCCAAGGCAAATGGTTGCAGCAAACTCAATGCTATTTCGCTTTGGACCACGGAGATCGGGGGAATTCTGATTTCATAAATTGTTTGCACAATCGACTAGTCAATATTGCTCCCAATTTATATGCGAATATATCTCTTTGCCAAACAACCAAAGACTTTATAAAACACGTGCGCCAAGTATTTCCTTTCATGACCTACATCTTTCCCATAACTACAGAATTTTTCCTTCACTTTTAGAAAACAGTCACTCCGGTCCCTTTATCTTCTTAATTAATGAAACATGTTGTTCTTTCATGCGTTATGTGTTATGGCTTTTGAGTATTGGACGTGTTTATTTATTAAATTGGTCTAAATAAAGGGTGAAAAGAATGAACATATATACCATAAATATAGTATGGATTTCATCCATTTTAGCATTTAATACATATATTTGGAAGACCTAAAACAATACAACTTATGATAAAAATCCATGGATGAGTATTCCATTTGTTAAAAACTACATATTACTCTCACTTTTTAGACTGTGTTTGGTGCGCCAAAGCTAGCTTATTTTTCGAGCTTTTTTATGTTATCGTGTTTGGTAAGCCAAAAAGTAGCTTATAAGCTAGCTTTTTGAAAAATTACTTAGACTAGCTTTTTAGGAGCTTTTTTAAAATTTTCCAAATACACCCATTAATTAATTATAGAAACACATACTCTTACATGTCCTTTTATTTAATTTTATATATTTCAGCTAGCTTTTCAGCTAGTTTTATCAAACGTTCTTTTTTATCAGCTAGCTTTTCAGCTATCAGCTAGTTTTTTATTTAACAACTAACTTTTCAGCTAACAGCTAGCTTTTCAGCTAGTACGCCAAACATAGTCTTAGTTCCGATAAAACTTTTCAGGTTGTAATTAATATCATCATGGGTTTCAAGTAGCTCAGACTTCATTGTTTAGGGGGGTTAACTGTAACTTCCATAATTTTTTGACGCGGCCAATCCGCACTTCTCCCATATATATAAACTACCTCGTACGTCTTCACATTAACTTGCACTCTCACTCTCTTCTACTAGCGATTGATCATTGCTTCCTCTGAAACTAGGTTTTTGATCCATTATTCACTACAAGGTCACATCTCTCTTCGATGCACTTTATTTTAGTAATTCTTTGATCATAAATACTTTAATTTAGTAATTCTTTGATCATAAATGATCAGAGTTAAATGTTTTGATGATCAATCAAATCAGATCTTACTGATGTATTCGATCTAACTTCTGTTTTGATTTGATTAGTTGTATGTATTGTTTGATTGGTATTCTTCATCTTCATTTCCGATGATTCTTTCTGTTTACGACTGTTTTAATATTGCTTAAATGTTAGCGACCATAAGTTTTTCTATGTTCCTTTAATATAAATAAACTAAATCCGATCTAAACCCAATATGACCAGTTGGATTGTTCATGTGGTGATTTGAACATTGATTAAACCTGTTCTAATGAGGGTTTAGTTATGATTCTCTTCTCTTAATTTCACAATAAAAGTCGGGAATTGGAAAAAGATACCCAAGCAATGTAGAATTAGTTTTTCCTAGTATATATGTCTGTTTTTTTTTTTTTTTTTTTTTTTGAGATATATAACTTGGTTTCCTTACGATAATCACAACATTGCAAAGCTTTTGGAAGATTTCTTTTCAAAATTGAATCATTCTCTGAAACTTGTCCTAAGTTAAAGATTATATATGTTATTTTCATTATTCTAAAGTTTATTGTGTTGATGCAGTTTTAAGATTTGATCATGGGTAAGGAAAAGACTCACGTCAACATTGTGGTCATCGGACATGTCGACTCCGGCAAGTCTACCACCACCGGACATCTGATATATAAGCTTGGAGGAATTGACAAGCGTGTGATCGAGAAGTTCGAGAAAGAAGCTGCTGAGATGAACAAGCGTTCATTCAAATACGCATGGGTGCTCGACAAGCTGAAGGCCGAGCGTGAGCGTGGTATCACCATCGACATTGCTTTGTGGAAGTTTGAAACCACAAAGTATTACTGCACTGTCATCGACGCTCCCGGCCACCGTGATTTCATCAAAAACATGATCACCGGAACTTCTCAGGCCGACTGTGCCGTCCTTATCATCGATTCCACCACCGGTGGCTTTGAAGCCGGTATCTCTAAAGATGGTCAGACTCGTGAACACGCTCTCCTCGCTTTCACCCTTGGAGTCAAACAGATGATTTGTTGTTGCAACAAGGTAAGTTAATTTTAATTGAATTTCACTTCGAGTTCTATACAGATTTCCGTTTTGAATAACTAGGTATATACCTTTTTCTCTTCTTTTTAGATGGACGCAACTACCCCCAAGTACTCAAAGGCGAGATACGATGAAATTGTGAAGGAGGTCTCATCGTATTTGAAGAAGGTCGGATACAACCCTGACAAGATCCCATTTGTTCCGATCTCTGGTTTCGAAGGTGACAACATGATCGAAAGGTCCACCAACTTAGATTGGTACAAAGGTCCAACTCTCCTCGACGCTCTTGACGCCATTAACGAACCCAAGAGACCTTCCGACAAGCCCCTCCGTCTTCCCCTTCAGGACGTGTACAAGATTGGTGGCATCGGAACTGTTCCAGTCGGTCGTGTTGAAACCGGCGTCATCAAACCGACGATGCTTGTGACTTTCGGTCCATCTGGTTTGACAACTGAAGTTAAGTCCGTTGAGATGCACCATGAAGCTCTCCACGAAGCACTCCCCGGCGACAATGTCGGATTCAACGTGAAGAATGTGTCTGTGAAAGATCTGAAGCGTGGGTACGTTGCGTCTAACTCGAAAGACGATCCATGCAAGGGTGCTGCCAACTTTACTTCGCAAGTTATTATCATGAACCACCCGGGACAGATCGGAAACGGCTATGCTCCGGTGCTCGACTGTCACACGTCGCATATTGCCGTGAAGTTTGCTGAAATTTTGACAAAGATTGATAGGCGATCGGGGAAGGAGCTTGAGAAGGAGCCGAAGTTTCTTAAAAATGGTGATGCAGGTATGATCAAGATGATTCCGACGAAACCTATGGTGGTGGAGACGTTCTCGGAGTATCCACCACTTGGGCGGTTTGCGGTGAGGGATATGAGGCAGACGGTGGCGGTGGGTGTGATCAAGAGTGTGGAGAAGAAGGATCCGACTGGAGCAAAGGTGACGAAAGCAGCAGCGAAGAAGGGTGGGAAATGAATCGTGCAGATTAGGATGTTGAAGATGGGTTGTTTAGTTGGTTCGTTGAATGATTTTTTGATAATTTTGTTGCCAATGCCGCAAACATGGTCGGAGAACTGGGTTCTGGATCGGCGGTGGCGAGTCTAAACTTGTGCTGCATCTAGTAGTTTGGGTCAATAAGCAGCTAGAATGTTTGAGTTAGGGTTTTTTATTTTTTTTATTTTTTTTTGTTCTTATGGATTCATATTAATTAATTAGGGTTTTTTTTAATGGTTTGTTGATGTTGGATTGTTGGCTTAGATTGTTTTATCATCGAATTACTATTTGAATCAATCGCTCAAAAGGACTATCTAAATATAAATAATTGCAGGGTCAATATTTGGTATGCACTAATAGTTATAAGAATAATTTTAACAAAGAAAATATGACCTTTTGTGATATAATTAGGGGGTAGCACACTGTGTTGTTAAAGGAAAATTTATGTGTATACGATAATTAATTAAGAGCATCAACATCTTCAATGGTTAAGTCATATTAAGACTTAAAGACTATTATCACATCATCATTATAATAATTTAACCTATAATTAAATAACCACTCCAATGGTTAATTTCATCAAATAGCTTTTTTTTATAAAATTTTAAATAATTTATCCATATCTATCTAAAATGTTCTATAAAACCTCCTTATTTAATTATTCTTTTTTTTAACACACATTATATTTTATTTTAATTAAAAATATTATAATATATTGTTTCAAAAAGAAATATATTACAAAATATCATTTGGAAAATTTAATACGAAAACAGGGCTCAACTCTGGACAGGCGGTGGAAACTACCAAGCTGGAGTACGGTAGGGGCAGAGGGAATTTCCGGTGGAGCGGTATTACGGAATAGTGATAAAAAAAATATTAGAAAAAATTATATAATCATTATAATTTTATATTCCATAAAAGAAATGTCATTATAAATTTAATATAAATAATTTAACTAGTAAATAAATAAAAAAATATTTAAAACTAAAATATATTTAGAAGGTAAAATGAAATATAACTAAAGTATGAGGGTGTTAAATGACAAAGCATAAAAGTATATTGACCACTCAATATATATATTGAGTGGTCAATAAAAAAAAAAAAATAAGCTCTATGCTGGAATGACAATAAATTATAAAAAAATAAAGGTCAATAATAATAAGCTATAAATAAGTTATCATTGGAGATGCTCTAAAATACAATTTATTAAGATTGTCTTTTCTGTTTTTTGGATCATAATCTTAATTAAGATCCTATCAAAAAGTATTTTAAAATATAAAAATACATTTTTTCGTCTTATTTTTATAGATAAGTAGTTTAAAACATATAAAATACATATTTAATACATCATTTGATGATACAAAATTTAAAATAGATATTCCATGTAGTTAGTCCAAAAAAATATTAATTTAAAAATAATAATAATAATAATAATAACTATCCTACAATCAGTGTTGTAAAACTCGGGTGAGTATTTGGAATCATCCTCTCTTACTTAGACGAGTTAACCCACCTCAACCAAATACCTCGTAAATTGGTCAAAACTGTAACACCCACGAGTCGTTTCATAATTCGGGGTCGTGACCCGAAGATCAAATATTATAAGGCTTCGGGCTTTGGGAAAAAGAGGTTTGGACCCAATTGGATGTGGGTAATATAGATTATGTGATCCAAGAGTTCGGTTTGTGCTTTGGAGTCAAAGGGTAAAATTGGAAAAGTGGTGTTTCAGACTCTTTTTTTATGAATTAAGGATTTTAGCTCGATGTGTTTTAAGTCAAAAGTAATTAGATAGGGTTGTAGAGCTCCTCAACACCTTTCTGTGGATATAAAGATCGTCGAAAGCAGAGTTAAAACGAAGAAGTTAAGTATGACCGTTTGAAGTTAGGACGGTTTTGGGTTAAGCCGCGTATGTTGGGTGTACGGAGAAGTACGTTGGGCGTACTACGACATCCCTGAGTAAGTTGGGCATACCAGGAGTGCGTTGGGCGCACACGATCAGTGCCCAAACCATATTTTCGTGGTTTGAGCCCTATTTAAGCTCCTTAACTTCCCCAAACTCATTCCAATCTCAGCCTCGATCTCTCCAACACCCTCCCTTGAAAATCCTAACCCTAGTTTGAGCCTTTTGAGCAAAAGAAAGTGATCTTGAGTGCTTTGGAGTGTGCTTAGTGCATCTTAGAGAAGAAGGAGCTCTTTGGAGAAGTGTTGGTTGCACTAGAGCTTGTAGATTCAGACTTTGTTCACAGTGATCTTTCTTCTAGAGGTATAAAGCTTGAATATTGATGATGCATTTGTTAGATCTAGCTAGTTTTGGGTGGTATGAGCTTTTGGTCACTTTAGTACATAAAGTTTAGATCTTGAAAGTTTGTGACCTTGTTATAGATAAAGTTGGAAATTTTATCCATCTAAACATCATATTGATTCAGATCTAAAGGTTTGAGACTTGGATTTAATGGATTAAGTTGAAAAAGATGCACTTTTGGTCCCTTTGAGACTTAAAGACTAGATCTTGGTTCTTTGGACCATTCTAATGGATAAAATTGGAAACTTTATCCATTATGAAGTTATTAGGAACCATAAAAATGTAATCTTGGTCCTTAGTTTTCTTCCATGCATGTTCTAGGATGTCTTAATGAGTTAAGAAGTTAAGGTTTTTGGTATTGAGCCCTTCCTAGCCATGCAAAGCCATAAAGTTGGAAACTTTTGACTTAAGATGTTATTTCGGGACTAGAACTGTTTTTGGTCGAAAAGACTTAATGGAATAAGCTCTTGAAAAGAAAAAGTAAAGTTAGACAGTGTACGTTGGGCATACATTGGCGTACGTTGCGCGTATGCGATAAGAGACCTGAATATGGATCTTGAGTACGCCAAGCGTACAAGCTGAGTACGTTGGGCGTACTTAGCTGAGTCAACTAGGCTAGCTTTTGTAACGTCCCAAAATTATAAGGTAAAATTTTGTTTTTAATTCAACCATAAACACCATTTAACATAACCAATCATTTAAAAGTGTAACAAGGTAAAAATAGTTATTATAGTACAATCCCAAAATCACAAAATTTCATAAACATGGGTGGATGCGCTCCGATCAAGCCGGGCCCTTCCCTTTCAAACCGGTAGTACCTGAAACCATAAACATAAAAACCGTAAGCACAAAGCTTAGTGAGTTCCCCAAAATACCACATACCAAAACATACAAGTGTCATGGGGCTACCCTTATGGTCTTTACTTGTAATGTCGAGGGCAAATCTCGGTCTTACACACGAGTACTAGGGGCCAGATCCCCCAAGTTTATTTAATATCTTTTGACCACAAAATTAATTCTTGAACAATATTAATTAAACAAATATGATTTCTCCTTTAATATATTATTCATATAATATATTAATAAACCATAATAACCTCTTTCTCCATTATTCATCCAGTCAAGTTGCTCTGGTGAAGGCAACCCAAAAGGACCAGGCTACAACCGGGTTAAGTACATACCAAATATAGTTATGCTTAGACACCTAATCCAACAGTCTCTCACTTGGATAAGTCTAATAACTATAAATGCAAGTACGACTTCAAAATCTGATTACCAATCGTAGCTCTCAAAAGCTGATGTCGAACTCTGACACGTCCTATAGATAAGGGATCGTATAGTCCTCCGTTCTCAAGATATCGTGTGGGCAATCACATGGAACATAGTCATACTTATTGTCCAGCAGTTTGTTTCTCGATCTCTGATTTTTCTGACATAGAACTTAACTGAACACATTAATTCAGTCCTGACCGGGACCGACACATAAGTCAAAACAAAATCATCGAGGGGCCCAAGATATCGCTTTTAGCCTCGTAGGATAAAAGGAACAGATAAACTTCGACTTATATGCTTGTACTATTTACTCATCAAATCGTACACAACAATGTGTTTTATAACATCAAGTTACTGATGCGTTTACATATTATCAATGCACAACCGACTCGTAAATAACAACTCATATATCTAGGTTTAAAGACTATATGATATTATCGTCTCACAATCACTCGTGATTAAATTCCATGAAGTGATTCATGTGAGCGTGGATTTAATCCAATACTCAAATCATATTTCATAAGCACTCATGAACATTGCAGCAAACTTTTGCTATGTCTAAACGTTTAGACAATCTACAAGCCAATTCATGACAGTCTTATTTCATACTTACTTCCAACGTATGATCGACTGTGGATAGTTTAAATAATCTTATTATTTAGGAAGTCAAAACATGCAAAGTGAAACAATAGTAAATAATTAACACAAGACAGTAACTTTACTTATAAATAATACTCTTTTATTTAATCATCAAATGTTAATTACAATTTATCTATTACAAGTTTCTAAAATCTATCTAATTACTAAAACTAATATCGTCCTTCAGCCCAATGCTCCTAGCGTGCTGCAAGTGCTTAACCCTACTCAGTCCCTTCGTAAGGGGATCTGCTGGGTTATCCTCTGACGATACCCTATTTACTACGAGGAGTCCCTCTTCTACCCGATGTCTAATGAAATGATATTTCCTGTCGATATGCCTGGATCTGCCATGATCCCTCGGTTCCTTGGTCAAGGCAACCGCACCTTCATTATCACAGAAAATCTTCATAGGCTCCTTTATGGCCGGTACAACTCCAAGGTCTCCGATGAAGTTCTTTATCCATATTGCCTCCTTCGACGTTCGCTCACTGCTATGTACTCTGATTCGCACGTTGAATCAGCTACGGTCTCCTGCTTGGAACTTTTCCATGTCACTACTCCTCCATTTAGGGTAAAGACCCAGCCTGACTGAGATCGGAAATTATCCCGGTCAGTCTGAAAACTAGCGTCACTATACCCTCGCACTCTCAAGTCATCACTCCCACCAAGGACAATAGACCATTCCTTAGTCCTCCGAAGGTACTTAAGAATATTCTTTACTACGGTCCAATGTGCTCTACCAGGGTTCCCTTGATATCTGCTGACCATGCTTAAAGCGAAGGCCACATCAGGGCGAGTACATGTCATAGCATACATGATTGAGCCAACTGCGGAAGCATAAGGTACTCTGATCATCTCTGTTATCTCGGCATCGGTACTCGGACTTTGATTCTTACTCATCTTGATAGTGCTTTGGATTGGTAACTCCCCATTCTTGGAATTTTCCATGCTGAAACGCTTCAACACTTTATCCAAGTAAGTGCTTTGACTAAGTCTTATTAGTCTCTTACT